GAAATCATCATTCGTGAGGACCAGAGCTACGCCAGAGTGAGTACCGATGTTACATCGATATTAGACGAAACACGAAGGGTTCTTTCAAGTAGGAACTGTGTATCATCCCTGGGTGAATTCTTGTTCAGTGCATGAGAGTTCTGCTTCTTGGAAAGGGTCCAAACCGAATCAAACCTAAGTCTGCCGTGTCTGATCCCATCATTTCCGCCTGAGGAAGCCAATCTGACGAAACCAGAATGCCAAGACCCCGATCACGAAAGCATGCAGTGTGAGAAGCTGTTGTCAGCATCGGAGAATGTCCCCAAGCTGCTCAGCAATTGCAGCTCTTCGAAGAGATGCAACATGTCCGTCTATCGTGTTTCTCGGGATCCCGTCGGGGTCTGTCAAAGCTAGGGTGGCCCGATTTCGTCGTTAGAGACAATGCTCCACTTCGGTTTCCCTTCGAATCAGGTTCAACTTTTTCCTACATATCTCGCATTTCCAATTGATGAGAATATACAAACTGAAATGTATTGATTATTTCTGCGACAGGTGTCTCATATCCTGGAGATGGGGAGAGTGACAAATACCGGACCTGCCAGCTGAACATCGCAGGATTCCTAGGCATCTGCTTGGGTGATTCCCTCATCAGCGTCTACGAAATGTTGGAGCAGTGTTGCTCTTTCCTCCACGACAAACTTTTCCGACCGAGGAACGTCATCCACGAAGACAGTCACTTATCCGGATCCGAAGCCTAAATTTATACAAAGGGTTCTTCAAATGCAGAAATTATGAAGTGAGCCAAGAACCACCACAGGGTAATTGGAGGATTACAATTCAAATTGTATACTAATTAATTCCTCAAAATGTTCTAGTTTAATGTAAGTCCTTGGTTTAAGAGAAATTATGTGTATACTTTCCTTGGACTTGAGAAGAGGCGTCACAAAAGGCTGACGATATAACCATTGTCACGATCCTTAGAATGAATGCCGCGAACCTGTTGTGATGCTACGCCTGAGGCGTGAATTTCTCCATTTCGTCAATTTCTGGCATGTTCTATCGCAAGAAATCTCAAGGGGGGAAGTGCGGCCGAGGAATCAAAGTTACACCTTTGAAAAAATGGTAATTATTTCGTGGCTGACGATTTCAAGTAATTTAATGCGCATGATCGTTAGACTGATGGCTTCGAGTCACGGCATGCTGGCCAGATTATTTTGATGACACTTACCCCGAAGAGTAAACGTGACCGTGAGCGGGGTATGAGTGACAGCGCAGCTGATGCACACCGTGTAAATGAAACAGTAAACAGTTTTTACGTTACGTGACTTCCATCATTTGAAGTTCCAGATAACCATTCGCAACGTGTCGCTTGGTAATGTAGCACGCCAGTGACTAATCACCTTCCATTCTCGGGTGTCTAATGAGTTCCCAGGAATAATGGACAAATAATATAACTTCTTCTATCGTCCATTCGTTGACGATAGTGTACCCGGAAGACAATAAGGACGGTTGTGCGAGAAAAGGAATGATACCTTTTGATCTATGGGGCTCCAAGACATGTGTCAAAAAGTATCGATGTTCGTCCTGAGAACCACTTCAATAAAGGATTATTATTGATGTGGTAGGATTCGTCCAGTCATCCCAATACTCATCATTCGACTTGCCGTGACGTGGACTAATGGAAAGGGACGCAATATGAACTCGACCTCGAACTTCTGGAGAAGAGGAGGAGGAGGAGGAGGAAGTGAGAGGACAGAGTGTTCCAGACTTCGCTACTGTCACCAAGTGTCAGGACCAGGGTCCCATTCGTAATCTGGAACCTGGCTATTTCTATTCGGTTGGGGCCGAGTACCTAAGTGCTGGTTGGAGCCGGACTTAGGCCGATCTAGTTGGCTCCAGATTCGGTTTCTTGCTGGTTGAAGCCGTAAGGAACGATCAGTTCCAGAACCACTGGGGTCGTTTTGTCTCATGCACTCTAGGATGACGTCGACATTGGCCCTTGCTCTTGATTACGTTGGCATACATGCCCAGGTTCTTTTCAGGATTGATTCAAAATGCAATTAACGTCTTGGTTACGTTCTTCTCATCTTTTATATTGAATTCACCCTATGGAAGCCCTCTTCCCGTGGCAAGGGTCGGAGGCAGCGGCAAAAATGTAGCGAATCGGTCGGGTTGGAAGTACTGTCTTCCCTTTTCTGGGATAGTCTGGTGGAGAAGCTCATGGTGATACAGTCCTACTAAGGGAACTTACACCATATCTGCCGTTATCCGATTTTAGGAGTCTGGCACGCCGTAAACTGAATTGCCTTTTCATAGGAGCAAGTATGGGCACTTAAAACGTATCCTTTTCTTTTTCATTCCCTTAAAGTCACCTGGATAATTGAACCATCCTCCATCTCTCTCTTTCCAATCAGAGTTTTCTGGAGACTCTTTGGACTAGGGTAGCCTGTAAAGACCGACTTGCAGCAGAATAATCATTTCTTCCCTTCAAACACATCTGCCTTCCCATGATAAAAGTAATAATAGTGTATTGCAGCTGGAAGTGCATTGACCTAAGAACTATTTGACCTCCCTCGTATCTATATTGCTTCACATATCCGTCCTGCTAGTCACTCGGCACCAAGTGCGATGAGTGCGTTAGGCTGAAGCTGGCACGCGCACGGTAACACAAAAGCAGAGCTGTGCACAATCAGCTACTCCGTCGCAGCTCTTGCAACACAAACAATCCTTGCTTACTTTTAAGTAGCTCAATTCTAGCATATTCCTACACTTCGGAATAGTAAAGTTCCATTTCTGAAAACAAAACTTCGATTACAAAATGGAAATGGCCTTCTGCAACACACGCGTAAATGTTATTACCAGAAAAGAGAACTGAAGTCACATATTTTCATAATAACGCATCAAATATATTCAAAATGTTCAAGAAATGTAAATGCTTCAAATGCTGAGGACTTCACAAAGCAGATTATACCCAGCTCGGCTAGTAGGGGACATTCCCAGGAACATACATAGGGTTCAGTAATGTGTGCAGTAACGTAATCATGTTCACAAAAACATTCAAATACTAAAATGAAATTGAAGTTCTGAATAGGTCCACTCTCCCCCCCCCCCCGCCCAAAAAAAAAAGAGGAGAAGGATCTAAGTGATGTAATGCAAATTCTTGGCAGAAAACTTCCTGTCTATGAAAAGGGCAATATTTCAAATATATGGTAATTTGGGGAAATATGACCGTAAAGAAATGAAACCTGGTCTTAACGGCCCATCAAGGACGAATTTGACCTTTACAATTTTTATGAAGTGTGAACGGAAAAAAGTCGTTACAGCCTCATATTTTTTGCACAAATTTATTCCTCCAGTTATTTTTCATCCTAACGGCATGGAAGGCGATACAAGAAGCTTCATCAAGTTACGAATATATTCAAAGTATACGAATATATTTAAAGTAAATTTATTCGTATCACATTGTCTTGTAATAACATTATTATACCTGTAACGACTTTTTTTCGGTCACCCTTGAAATTATTGAATCATATCTCTCTTATTGAATCCCAGCAAGGTAAAGACAAAAAAGGAAATTTCGCCTTTGGATCCTTTCCAAGTTGGTCACGAGAGGCTGTTGTCGGAGTAATCCGGCCAATCCTCAAAAACCCCACCCAATCCACAATCCTGTCCACCCAATGAAGGCGCTTTCTGGAATCAAGATGATCAATGAAGAATTCGCCAATTTGGGAAACCCCTCCTCTGAGGTAAACGAGAGAGGAAGAAAGGGGATTGAGAAGTCAGTTCCGAGCTGATTGGGGACTCGGCCCTACCGCTTCGTGGTCTTCCATCCCTCAAAATTATTCCTTTACTTTCTCCTGAACTAAAGATTTTAAGTGTTCATCAGGTCCCCTAGTATAACCTCAAGTCCGATTCAGTGACGAGTGTCTGAGAACAGTAAACGCGAGCTTCTTTCCGAGTTTCCCGAGTTTCTTGCGAGTGCTGAAGGCCCACAAATATGGAAAGGAATCTAGACAAATAGCACATTTAGATCAGGAATCCAAATGTATATTTGAGAAAAAATAAAGATAACGTTCTCATGAAGGTCAAAAGAATATATATTGAGTTATTTTTCGTCATCGATGTCGATTTCAAGTCGACACCCAAGTAGCTTTTTTTTTCCGTCTGGTGTTCAACGAGTTCCAATTTTGAAATCCATCAAATAAAAGAATCTTGGATTTCCATGCGAGAACTCAGCGGACGGTGGTCGTATTTTGAGCTCTGTGGCGCTGGCAACTCAAAAGGTTCTGCATGATTAGCAACTCACTCATCACATTTAAGTATTTCACCGCTCTGAAATGATAGGGATTTTGATGCAAGTTAATTTAAGCTGAAAAAGGATTCTCATGTTGAGACTCCTCCATGTCGAGAGTCCTACGATGAAAATCGTACTATTTCATTGATAAATTTGATAAGAAAAAGAGAATCAAGCATGCCAAATTAGTTCAATCAAAAAACTAAAAGGAAGCGCCGCGAATTTTCCCAAATGTTGTTTTACATGGGATACAACAAGTATCCAACAAAATGCGTGTAAACAGAGAAAGAATCCAATGGCGGGAATGATCCTAGTGAGATATAGACACTAACCTTGTCGCCCGCATTCAGGCGTAGAAGAATGGATTGACCTAACATCGATTCATCACCTGCATGATGGTTAGCAGAAAACATACCACCTATAGACTCTCCATTTTTTTTCAAGAAGAGATTAAGATGAACAACATCCATTACACAATGAAAATGAAAACCATATATTCCGTCCAAGGGTGATGTAAAAATTCCACTTGTATAATCCATTGCTCCGCCTATGTTGACATTCATGCCGGAGTAGTGAAGTACGCTACCATTGCTTCCCAATCTTCCAAACGCATCGAAATAAATGCCTTCTGCAATACGAGCATTTGTCTGTTTTTGAAACTCGGGGTTGTTTTCTTCCAAATCCATCCTACACATTACTACATCCAAGCGACTTTTCTTGGAGCTGATCAGATAATATCCAGAGTGAGTGTTTCCTGCTTGGCGAAGAGATGAACAGGATTCTGCTGGATTGTCTGGGGGAGGAGCTTTGCCCTTGCAAGACAATCCACCCAATGTGTAATTCGCTTTCTGACCCTCAAATTGTAGTCCCCCGAAGCGCATCTCAGTTATGGGCAATGCTGTTTCATTCGTTATGACTCCTGAGTCTGATTCCCATTGGGGGGCTTCTGCATCACAATTGCAAGGGAGGTTGGAGTTTATGCAGTTGCCAGAGAGACCGCAGTTGCACATGTGTTGTCTTGCGTTTGACCCATCCCAGTAGTATTGAGGTTTGCCGTGACGGTCCACCCACCATGCGTATTGCATGTCTCCAGTTGCGAGGGTCGTCGCGAAACAGTCATACTGAAACGAGACACAGTCAGTGGTGAGTCTGATACATCGAAAATTATGCAAGGTTCGATGGTACTCGAAGTACCATCGAACTGTAAGTCAATATTCTATTTGCGGATTTTCATTTGTGATTCCTAGGTGTTAGGCAAAACAACGAGGAAGGACAGGGAGATATATGACATATTTCCGAATATCTGTAGTAGGGAGGATAAATTATGTAGCTTGTCGTGCGATAGGAATCCGTGACCGATATAGCAGGCAATTATTCTTGAAAACAGAACTTCGCTCAAAGAATCGGAAACTTGAACACAGATGCTTGATACAGGATATGACCTTCATTATAATCAAGAGGTAACCATTTTGTGGCAGCTTCATTTAATATTTCACAAACTGCATGTGGATAGATGAAAAAGGGCTTCTGCAATTTTTTTAAACGAGATTGACCGAATGTACCACGTGATACACTGTTAAAAACTTGAAGACTAAAAAATTGCACCGGACATGTCTCCCGATTTGTTCGACTCAGCCAGTGAAGTTTGCCTCCCTTTCCGTTCTGGATGGCACGCAGACACTCGCTTGCTGTGCAGCTGAGGCGAACGCATCAGCGGGCATGTCCAGAAATGTTCAAGTTTTGAACGGTGTCTCATGTGATGCATTCAATCAATCTCATTAAAAATTTCCAAAAATTATCCATTACCTATCTATATGCAGTTTGCGAAATATTGGGCCGAATGGGTGACGTTACCCATTATTCCCATTTAAAAAATTATTGCCGCGGGTTTTTTTGTGTTCGTATAACAAACTTTTTTTACATATCAGGTTTGAAATGTCATAGAATGCGTCAATTTTCTTTACATTAAAATTAAGTTAATTTGAATAAATTAATTGTCGTTAAGAGCGAAAACGATTTGGAAAGTATTTTTGAAACATCATGTAGAACATGGTTAGAATTAGTGTAAGCTACTCAGTCACTATTGTCAATATACAGGGTGGCCCAAAAAAGGGGCACCCTTTTCAATACGGAATTTACGTGTCATGATTTTAAGAATTTTTTCCAATGACATGTACCTGTAATGGAAATAAGTAATATTCGGCTACAAAAATCTTTTTTAGACTTGAAATATATTAAAAAATTAGAAACAAATGATTCAATTTATAAAATCAATTTCGAAATTTCCAAAATCGGCGTTTCCCTCACCAACCGCAAACAGCCGCATCCACATGAAACCATCCTCGCAGCGTCTGCGGAGTTCGGCGTTTCACTTCCCTTTATCGTGAGTGTCGGGTCGTCGAGTGGATAAGGGATTGAGTTTGTGAGCGGAATGTCGATTTTTCGCAACCGAATATCACAGCTTTTTTTCTAAGTCACCGTTTAAGATATTTCATGTCTGAGAAAGCATTTTCAGCTTAATCCTTATTCTTTCTATTGCATGTAACCGGTAAAACTATATATGAAAACATCGCACCAAAAATGCATACTGAAAAGAGTGTCCTTTATTTTGGGCCACCCTGTATATAAGATACTGGGCTAGGTGTTGAGACTAGAAGTTATTTTGCAGCCTCTCAACTCCTTCAAGGACCTCTCAGAATAACAAGATTCCTAACCGTAGACTAGACTTTTCGATCATGTTCAACTTAAACTCGATCAGAAAATTTATCGATGCCCTGCCAGTTAAAATCGGAATAAAAGCGAATAGGTAACCTTCCCTCCGATGGATTTCTGGTAGTTTGGCCAATGAGAACCAACTGGGAAATTAACAGGAAAGGAAGCAAATAGCAACAGGAACCCCGAGAGGGAATGGTTGTGCGCGTAACAGGGTAACGCGTTATCTGCCACGCGGTATGCCAGCGGGTTGTTGCTATTGTTAATAGGTCTTTTTTAACATTAATTTCTTCAGGTTTAACTTTTTTTTTTAGTAGATGCCTAAAAATGTATTGATGGTAACCTATTGCCTTATGATGAAAGCACATTAAAATACAAAGTCCTGAGATGAATGGATCCACTCACTTTTATTTCCTGTTCGCATGACTTTGATTGCCTGATCAATGCCACCATCTGTTTCATCGGTGAACCATACCTTATGCTGTGACTGTAGCATCCAGGATCAGCACATCGATCTATCGCAGTGGTCCCCATTGAATCATGGAGGACAATCGTGGATACTGGATCTAGACATAGCACAGTAGAGAGCATGAGCCGGAACTAACAAAACAAGACTTTTTTGCGAATGACCGAGCCATTGTTTACTTCACCGACCTGTCTCCATGTCACAGAGCACTTTGATGGGTGCATCGCCGATCAACGCTCCGTCAGGATCCACGAAGTATTCTCCTGTCCGTGTCACTCCCAGGTCTGCCAACGTCTGACACGTTCGGGGCGCTGCGATATAAGTATTAAAATATTGCCGTCCTCAGCTGGAAGAACAGATATACTTCTGAGGAAAGCCTTTTCAAATGAAGGCGATCCTTTAGAGCATTTCGTACAGAAATTGCAGTTCGAGTAACGACAGCATTTCAAAAGACCGACCTGGAAAATGCGATCGGCTGAAGTGTCACTGTAACCACTGTCTAGAGTGGTTCACTATGCGCAGGCGTATATGCGCGGGCGTCGTTCTAAGGCGATGCTAGCGATCAAATGAGCGTCCTATAAGGAACAGCACATGGTAACGAAGTTTCTGTCAGCAGAAGGCAAAATATAACAGTTAGCGCAGAATGCTCTCTCAATTCGAGAAAGGTCTTACATGACGCGAGTTTGACTCGTGGGCATAAACTCGCGAAGCACGTGAGAGTGCATAAGACGTTAAAAGGTCAAGGGGACGAAGGGCGATCTATGTGGAGAACTTTTCATGGCGTGGCTTGAAGCGTTTCGATGTGCCTCTCAGGTTCTTGTGCCCCTACAGAACGCGGTTCAGGCGAAGATTGGTCGTCCTCAATATAGGAGTCGTTCTATTCCAAGTCATCGATGTGTTGTGGAGCCGTCTGTTGTCAGGGAATTTCAATAATGTACGATGGTCATCGCTGGATGCTCTCAAGTTCGTTAGAGTCATCTTTGGAGAACAACTGACCGCAATTTACTGGTAAAATGGTGCTGACAGTCACTGTCCAGTAAACCAGACATTCAGAGCAATGGTAAGACATGCTGCGGATACCGAAACAACCATTTTTGGGCCATTAACTCATCGAAATATTTTATGATTATTTGATGGCCCTCAATAATTATGATCGAAGGGCTTCAAGTCTCCACTCACTTATTTGTAGGCTAATAGCCTCCAGATATTGAAGTCTTCCTTCCGTGACGTTCAGTTGAAGCTGTAGTTTATCTCTTTCCCGGAGATGTTCCTGCAAGCTAGACTTGAGGTTTTCGTTCTCTTTTCTCATGTTCTCAAAGTCATACTTCATTTTCTTGTAGTCGTCCCTGAGGTTTTCATTGTGATTCCACAGTTGCTCATTTTCAGACTTCAGTTGTGAGATTTGCTTCGCATGTTCTAGCACTGTTGCCCTCAGAACTAACATCATTTCTTCCAAGTTGCCACCAATATGTTCCCTTCCATGGATGGGAGTGCTTTCGAGTGCCTGGGAAATCGAAGAGTGACTACATATATTATTATCGCAAGAATGGTCTCATCTTAAAACCCATGAAGAATTTCTTCTTTACTTCGAGAAGGAAAATTGCAATCCTCAGCAACCAAAAACCATTTATTCATTCCCCCCAAAACATTGAAGAAACAGCATATCAACACAATACCCTGATGGAGTTGTGGTGAAATTAATAATTACATTTTCCCAAGTCTTCATTACTTACATTCATCCACCATTCATGTGTTTGGAAGATTGCACATCCCCTTCCTCGCGGAAATCCGCATACTGGTGGAGTATATCCTCATAATTTGAAATGTTCAAAAACGGATGCGGTTCGACTTACATCTCCAGACCAGCATTTGGTTGAAAGGATCAGTACAAACAAGAGACATGGATTTCCCCTCATATTGATGTGCAGTTTCCTGGACTTCTTTTCAGGCCTGAAATGAAACGGCAGGTATACAGATTCAGATTCACTGCTCCATGGTGTTTCTAAATTTAAATTTTACCTGAATAAGTTAACTGATGAAAATTCGCAATTGTCCATGAGCAAAAAGAAAATATCTAAGCGTCTAACGATGTTTCCTCCTCATTTGCTCGAAGAATTGCTAATAGAGTTTTTTTCTGAGTTGCTGAAAGTTTTCGTGCATGCATCGTTGCACCTTTTGGCATGAAACTCCTTTGGCATATCCTTGTGAGACATACAGTGGTCAGCGAAACAGTTTCAATGTTTGCAGTTTACGTATTTGTAGGCTAGTAATTTCACGAGTATCCAATGAATCTAAGCGATATTTAGAGGGACGATAGCAATGCTTCTTGTCTTCCAGTGCCCGTTGGTTTTGTTTGAATGAGTATGAGTTTGAATTCGTGGATTAATGAGCTTTCACAGGTGTGTGTGCCTCTGGACCAGTTTTGCGACTTTTATTCAGTCAGACTAATCGGCATCTGTAAATCGCCACGCACGCAATCTAATGTCTCCAAACTTTAAAGAGGATGCATTTCTATATTCTAGCTTGCTACCAACTCGTTCCTTCCTCCTTCGGTGCTCTCTTACGACATGAAACGCATTTCCTGAGTAACTCGCAACTACATCATTTCTCTTCTTGACGACAACATTTCCTCGTACAAAATGCTTGAGGTATGGAAGCTTAAGGTATGCTTGAGGTATGGAAGCATGTCAATCCTGAGTAGAACTATATTCTACCACGAGTGTCCATATACTTAATCCAGAGCAAGCTCATACGTGTCGCCGCAATGTTATAAACTAGAGGTGAACACATCAAAACTAAATAAACTCACTTTTCTACCTGGCTGAACACGAATCTCAAAACCGGTCCAATGACACACACACTCCTATGAGAGCTCATAACTCCACGAATACCAATTCGTTTAAAACAAAACCAATGGATATTGGAAGCAAAGACTCAAAGGCTAACCTTCTTCCAAACATGGTTTATATTGATTGGATATTCATGAAATTATTAGCCTACAAACACAAAATCACAAATTAGCCAAGTTGTTTCGGACAATGTATTTTTATTAAGTGGAAACTGCCAAGTACTTAGGTTTCTACGTAAAAAAAAATATTTTGAGGGGAAAAATCTACATCTGATTTGCAGAAATTTCTTTCTTTTAATTATGGCAAATATTTCCTTACCAAATACAATAAGTTCTCGCAAACCCAATAGTTCCCCTCGATTCCCTATAGTTAATTTTTAATAAGCCACCATCCTTCACAGAAAGGAAACCACAAAATCGACACTTGAGACACACAAAACACCCAATTCCTGTCGCAGACACGATATTATCAACAATTCACGGGAAACTCTTGATCTCAAGATCGAGCTTCGATGTTTATATTTCAGAACGCGACAGGCCCAAGGCCTGCGTTCCAGCCGTAAATATTATATATCAGCTACTCTTTCAAGGTCTAAGGTTTGGAATTTGGGTGACGCAAAAGGCTTTCGCCCATATGGAATACTAGAGTCGAGGACACCTGTGACCCAAGAGAGCCGTTCATTCCATTGAAGGAAGGTTTTTGAGAAAAAAAAGTTCTTTTTGCCCCATTTTTGGGAAAATGACAAAAATTGTTCAATTGCTATCAAATTAGGCATGAACGATATACATGCCAAATGACACCAAGAGAGACACGAATGTATGAAGTTTGGGAGTTTGAAGAAGTCCAACTCTTTCGGAGGAAACTCAAAAAAGGAAAAGTATGAAACTGAATGATGAAGGAATCACCTATTCCCATTGCACTATATTCGAAAACGTTATTTCCGTTCCTAAAAAAACTCAAGGAATGGTTATCGCGTCAGACGACTGCATTATTTCTGGGTATTTCCACTTTTTAGCATGGGTATGGAAGGAGGACCCGATGATTGAGAACTATTGCTTTCGAATAAAACTGGTGAATATATATGCTTCTGAAAATGATTGAACACAGCGAATCGACATCTAACAGTGAAATCTTTTTGAGGGCACGAATAACTCACCTATTAACGCAAAAGTCTTCGCTTCTCGACGCTAACGACACGACATCATCACGGGGACTGGATGCAGTCGACGCGTTCCGGCTTCAATGTTTAGACAATATTTACACAATGTTTAGACCATGTATAGACAATGTTTAGACCCTGACCTCGGTTCGAGACTCACGCGACACATCGGCGCCGTGTGGCGCTCATCGTCTGGAGGTTCAAGGTTTGGAAGCGGCGTGCCACAAAACGCTCTCGCCCGCGTGAAGGACCCGAATTGAACGCTCTTCGACTCCGTCCTCGACTGGATTTATCGTATGGCAGCCATTAGTTTTTGGCGTGGGTCCTCCCAATATGTATCACTCTCATGGGCAAAACTTTCTCAAACATTCTATTTGTATAATTTCCGGACATGAAACAAATTGGCAACATTGCTATCGTGGGGAGCCATTTCGATCGCGTAGTTAAAGAAGATGTTAAAGAAAAGACACGACTCAATCGTAGCACCAGACGAGGAGTTATGGCATAAAAAACTGCAATATGTTGTATTTAAACTCAAAGCTAGCTATTCTGCGAATTCAAGAATAAAAATACATTTTTGCTAAAGAAGGCAGATTTTTGAAAATATCTAAGTGAGATAAAGTACGCAAAGGATAATGCCCCTGCTGTTTTCCTCTCTTTCCATTAGACATCATCCTTCTCCCCCATGATACCTATAATACACAAGTCACGGAAATACTTCATGCTCCTTAGCTTAAGAAGGGCGGTGGCTCTTTTTTCGACAGAGGAAGAGCCAGCGCCATGAGCCACTGAGACAGTAAAAGGGAAAAAGAGGCGAGGAGGAAGTTTGTGCACGCGATGGGGTGCCAGGGCAGGCGAAGGAACATGGGAGAATGAGTAATAAAACACCAGAATTGTAAATTAAATCTCAGTCGTGCCTATAGGAAAGGAGAAAAGATCTGACACTATTCCGAAGTCGGTACGTTTTCAGACTACAAAAGTTAAAATGGGTACTTCAGTAAAAATGTCGCCCATAGGTAGTCTCTTCATGAACACCTTGTACTTCTTTGTGGCGCCCTCGTAAACACTAATGCCGACGAATTGAGGAATCGCCCCGTATTTCATCATGGACTGTTGAAATCCCTGGATTCACGGCAGTATGCAGGTGGCGCTGCAGTCAGCGATCCCAGTGATCCCTTACGAGCACCACGTCAACTCTCGTTTCCTCGTCAATCCGAAAGATGGCGAAACGAGAGTGGATTCCCGATTTTCAGTGAAACCTGGCCACCCTCCCTTTCGTGAGGGGGAGTTGCAATATCACAAATGCACATCCTTGTATTATGAGAAAATCTCATGTCGAAATCTCAAGCTCATATCTCGAAGCAGTTGGCCTGTAGAGCTACCACACACGCACACGAAAACACACAAGCACGCATTTGTTGTCCGGTCTAGCTAGCATGACAGAGCCTTACAACTGAATCAGCCTTTATTAGAATAACATGTGAATACCGTTCGACTCTGAGGAAAATCTCAGAGAAATGAAGTTAACCTTTCATTGATTCCTGTAAGACGTGATGGGAATCACAAGAACCCCATGAAGACCCAGTGGAACCGTGCACGCCGTCCAGGCTGGAAATACGGCCGTGGAAGGATGGAGGGCGATGCATGGAAGAGTGTGGGATGCGACGGGGATTGGATGGATGCGAGGAGGCCAATTTGGAACTAAATCGGCTGGAGATTTGAGAGAGTTCTTCATTATGGAATGGAGGTTCATATATGGACAGAGATCGATAAAGGATTGACGCTCTGCGCTGACTCGTAAGGGTCTGAAACCAATCCCTTCTTATAATATGTAATCGGCTCTTTGCAAATGAAGCTCAAGTCAAAATCGAAAGTATTTGACCAATCATGACAGAAACGATTGGAAAATGCTGTCATATACCTAGGTACATAACAAATGAAACTTTCGCCGTGAATAATAGAAATCACCCGGAACCGTGAACCCAATTAGAGGCAGAGCTTCACGTGGCCCTCTTTCCTGATTGTCTTCATGCCCAACCGAGAAAGGAAATGAGACAGGCCCATTGGGACCGTATGAGATAGGTACCAATTAGGGCTAGACAGCTTTGGGGCTCGGGGTCTGTTCGGGCGAGCATTTCCTTTCCTTGCCTCCATAGTTCAGTTTCTTATTTTGCTATTAGTATTTAAAAAAAATCAAATCTTCGGAAGTGTTATTTGGGAAACAAATGGGTTATGATAATGGATCAGTGCAGGTTACTGTGTTCGTGATACAAAATAATGTGTTTCTTGCCATATGAAATTTCGAATGACAATTAAAAAAAGTCCAATTATTTACATTTTTGTGGCTATGCAAGAGAAACCTACCACTTGAGCTTCGGCTACAGCCCTCCCGACGCTAACGCTTCTCGAAAAGGATTTCATTTCATTGCACGAGCTCTTGGTCCCATCCCCTTTCCACCTCGGTGCACCCTATGAGGCCACACGGCCTGCCGGTCTTGATGGCGAAGCCGAAACCCTGCAGAGAGCGACGAAGGATGACAGGAGGCTTAAAGGACGAGAGCGGGCAGCTGTCACAATTACGGTAAACATCACGGGATGAGGCAGTACTAGATTCGCTTGGGGTCGGCATTTGAAGTAAATTCTCATCTAAAATATATGCTCATGGTTGTTGTTAAATGACGAGAAATGAGAGTTCACCAGTTCCACCAGACTCCAGTGGTAGATCCCCCGTCGCTATTTCGACGGATACAAGGTGAGACGACAGTGCTCGACCATCACAATAATTTTCCAATGTCGTCTTGTAGTGATACGAAGCAAATCTATTACGTTGCCCCTTAGACACTCATGATTGAGGAGTACCAATCCTATCCGACGAACCCCCTACGTACGTCATTAACCGTTCTCGCCATTATGACATGGATAAACACCCTCCCGTCCTGCATATTTACAACAGCAGCAGTCACACTACGGCCTGGTAAACATTCGCCGCGATTGACGAGATTGCATCGAAGGCGTTCTCTCCGCATTTTCTTTCCACTTCTTCGGAAACACGAACGATCGTTTATCGTACCTCTCGTACAATCGTATCGTACCTCTCATGCAATTGTGAAGAACGATGACCGACGTGAAGAGCCTTGCACTTACTTTCATTATACCACATGAGCCATTTCTTGCTCCACTCGTCCAGGAGTCCCAATTCTTTTTCGGCTCTCACCCTTTCTGCTTCCCTGTTGATAGAAAAACCTAAATTGGAATATTCGGAAAATCGACTAATGAAGTCCTTGATCTCCTTGATCGGTCATAATTCGCTTACGTAGAGGAGTAAAAGAAGCGGTCCTAAAACAGCGCCCTGAGGAACACAGTGCTCGACCCCCCACCACCGTCGACGCTTCCCTTCTCCCATCGCTCACTGCCCTCTTTCCGTCGACCAGCTACTAATCCAGTCGCTCGCCTTACCCTGGATACAGTGCGCCTCCAATTTAACCCACAATCTCTTGTGAGAACCGATCTTAAAGGTTTTCGCGAATTCCAAATAGACGACATTCACGGAGTTCCTCTCATCATTCTGTTCGGTCACCCAATCGTAAAACTCAGAGAAAATTGTCAGACGATTGCGACCCCTCCTAAAGCCGTGTTGAGGGTCCCTGATAAACGAGTTACCTTCGAGGAAATCTAAAATGTAATCCACTTTGATACTTTCCGTGATTTTTTCTGGAATGTTCCTGAAACTTCTCGATCTATATATTACAAAGATGACACTTTTCGCCCTTCTTAAAGATCGGTATGAAGTTTGGCAGCTTCTCCAGCACTTCGCCAGTCCCTCGGCAGATCTCCAAACTAAAAGGTATTTTCAAATATAATTATTAGCGGTACTGAAATTTCCCTGGAGAGTTCCTTAATGACACGAGTTGGAATTCCGTCAGTCCCAATCGCCTTTCCCGCCATCAAACCTTGGACCCAGTTGAACCGTGCACGTCGTCCAGACTGTGCATACGGCCGTGGAAGTATGAGGGGCTATGCAGGGAAGGGGGTGGGATGGGGCGGGGACTGGATGGTTGCGAAGTGCCCGATGTGCAACCAAATCGGGCGGAGATTTGAGATGGTCCTTCGGTGTGGAATGGAGGGTAGGATATGGGAAGAGACCGATGAAAGATTGTCTCTCTGCGCTGTCTCGTCAAGGCCTGGAACCATTCAGT